ATTATAGTGGAATTCTATGGCATTGGTATAGTAATTTATGATTTTTTAGTTATTCAAAAATATATATAAACCTAAAAAAAAATATTTTATTTCATATCCTCCACGTGCAAAATTTGATAAGGCAACTTGTGGCAAGCAGCAAACGAGTACAAAGATCATAACTAGAACAGGTAATTGTTTTCTATACTTCTTATTTACTGTTCTATGTTGTAAGAAAAATAACTGAAATTAAGAACTTATTTGTGCATAGTAATAATCTATATATATGCATATAATGTATATTAATGGAAATGTGACTGTATGTTACAAAATACTAGTCTACTAAAACACAGCCAAGACAGGTCACTTTGTAAAGACTAAAGGTCAGTTTTATATTATTGGATACAGTGATGTGAGTGCACATGTGCCACGTCATTGTAACTTCTGTATTGTTAGCCAGGCATGGCTAAAAGGTCAATATAATATAAATAATAAATATATATAAATGTATAATGTTATGAGATATAAGCTATTTAGTCTAAACATTTTTGTGTTATAATTTATTGTCATTCTAGAACGAAAGAGGAATGATTTATATTTATTTCCTAATTTTTTATGGTGGTTACAAGATTGGTTAAATCTACTGAACCCGTACAGTGATTAATTACTGAAAATAACCGATAAAATATAAAGTTTTTTTCATAAGAAATGTTCGATAACTATCTGGATATTATAAAGACTTTGCATTTGAAATTTGAAAATTACTTTGCATGTTGCCTATTCAAAAACATTGCTTAACCAACCTTAAGGCTAAATTAAAAATTTTATATTTTGCGTATGAAAGCATTGTAAAGTTTACTGATAATCTGCCAAATTTCATTAACATGTGCTTACTAATTTAAAAGTTATAGCATGAAAACTAACAAGCACAAAATGGTTATGAGGGCAGTCCCACGGAGCTCGTGCTAAAGAGTTAACTAGATGATTAATAGAGTTCAGTAAATAGTTATTCTCTTGCCATATGTTTGATATTCTTTAATTGCTCATAAGATCAATCAATATTGTCAATTGACAGTTCACAGTTGAAGTTGGTCAGAATGAAACTATCAAAGTATAGAAAAGATAGACTTGAGATATTGTGTAATCATCAGTGTCTACAGAATTATACCAGAAACATGTTAACCTCTTTTTGATATATTCAAGTAAAGAATTTATCAACATGTTCGTAACTTCATAAACTTGGTTACATAATGCATCCATAATAGTAATTAATTAGTTTTAAATTTCTGAGGACAATCTTTGAACTAGTTTTGTTCATGACAACATAACCAGGAGCTAACCTAGTACCCATTACAGTTCCATCAATCTGATGAAATATTTAGCTGCAAAATTCATTAGTGTGATAAATTCATATTTAGAAATATGTTTTCTAATTACATTATGATTCTAATAACCTAGATCAGCACTAAGTTCTTTTACTTCATTCAGTAGTACAGAGGTAAAGTAATTATAAATGAAAACTGGCTAAATGAATGTTTTTCATGGAAATTCCACTCTTAGTTTGGTCCTCTGATCCAGGCTTTTAAATTAAACTTGTATATAGTAAATTCTTTAAGAAATTTAAAAACATGTAAAGGCATTAGATTAAAAGTTTTGACACTATGAATTAGTGGTGACGCATAGAGTGAAAACCTGTTACTCCTATACATATATATTGTAAATATCATCATCAGTATACATGATTCTTTAATTTTATCAAATAAGTTTGTAACAGTGTTTCTCCTGTTGCTAGAATTTTAACAATTTTAGAATGATTTAATATAATGTCACTTTTCGTGGGGCCTGTCATAAAAAACGTATTGATAATTTGGTAATAATTTAATGCAACTACATTACCATTTAAAAAAGATGCATGAAATGTTTATTTGTTTTAGAAATTTTCACTAACATTTTCACCACTAGTAAGTACTAGTAACTTTTTTCACTTGCAGGAGTAATGTTAATTTGGATTGGGAACATTGAACTTTATAGACCTTAACCCTTTAAGGTCGAGTGTGTAAATAAACACTATGTATTTTGCTTGAGAGCTGGGTGAGGCATATAAACACATATTCCTATTTATTAAAGACGGTGCAGTTTTAAAACCACTATGGCTCTGCTCTCTATCTTTTGCTTGCTTTCATTGGTTAATACATTTAAAAGTCACAATTTGATTGAGTAAGCACATTTTCGCCATTAGATATCATCCAATGAACCAGCTACCTCTACATCATCACACGCCAGCAAATGAAATATCTATCTATAGAAGGCTGTATTTACTGTAAATCAATAAGTTGTATTTGAATTAGATACATTTTCTTTCAGTTATTTGTTCATCATGGATGAACCGTCTATGTCATCCTCATTCACACGTACCAAAAAACGCCTTTTTAGCCCTCAATCAATGTATAAAATTATAGATGAATGAAGTGATGAAGAATTATCTGATTTTCAAGCAATGAAAGTGAGCCTGTGGCATGTTCAAATAATAGTTATACTGGTAATATTACATGGAAGAATGGGGATGATTTTGTGCCTCATGACTATTCATTATCTAACGAAAATTCAGGAATTTGTGATTCATTTCCTACTCAAGAGAATACACCCGTTATTGAATATTTTCTAGCCTGTTTCGACAGTGAACTTGGGAAGAAGATTGTAGACAATACTAATATGTATCATGAATTTGGTGTACACAGTTATGATGTACATCAAAAAGCAAAAAAGCCAGCATTGGAGTGAGACAACAATTAATGAAATATACTCTCTTTTTGCACATTTTTACTAATTATTCATGTGAAAAAAAAGAACAATAAAAGAGTACTGTTCAAAAGATGTCGTGATTGCTACAGATTTGTTTTTTAAATACATGAGCAGAGACAGGTTCCTTGAACTACTTAGGTACATTCAATTTGGTAATAATGAGATTCTTGATAAAAGTGATAGATTGTGGAAGATAAGGTAAGTGATTACTATTTTAAAGGAAAAGTTCTCTTCTTTTTTCTGCCCATTCCAAAAAATTTTAATTGATGAATCCCTAATGTTATTCAAGGGGAGATTGATATTCAAGCAATACATACTGTTAAAGCGTCATAGATTTGGAATAAAATCCACATTCTCCGTGATTGTGAAACGAATTATTTTGGGTTTTGTTGTTTGTACAGGTACTGATATTGACGTTGCTAAAAAAGATTCTCATTGGGCTTCAGGTGACATTGGGAAGAAATTGATACAGAAATATGAAGGGAAAGGCCACGTGTTGTACATTGATAATTGGTAATCTAGTCCTGGTCTATCTTTATATTTGGATTCACATAATATTGGCACTTGTGAAACTGTAAGAGAAAACAGGAAGAATGTTCCTAAGCTTGCTAAGCTGAAATATGACTAATCTGAAAGGAAGAAAAGTGGTAATTTATTGGCTATACGTTGGCATGACAAATGTAATGTGACAATGTTTACCACATTTCTTAAAGGACAAATGGTTAACAGTGAAAAGGTAAATCATAAAACAAATAAATTGTCAAAAAGCCTGATTGTGTAACTGACTACACTCAGAATACGCAGCTTATTGATAAAGCTGACATGCAATTGGCTACCATAGAATGTGTTAGAAAATCTGTAAAGTGGTACAAAAAGCTTTTTTTTTCATCTGATGCACCTTGTTGTGCTAAATGCTTATAATATGTACCTAGTCAAAATGGGAGATTGCCATTTGAAATTCAAAGATTTCATTAGGGAGTTTATAAGGCAACTTCTTCAAAAATATGGTACCTTGACTAGTGTTAGGCTTAGTAGAACAGTGAGTGGTAACATTGATAGGCTGAGTGCTGTACATTTAATGAAAAGACACTATCCTGACCATGTACCTTCAACAGGAACTAAAAAAAAAAAGGTCAATGCAGATGTTTTATATGTTCTAATACTATTAAGGGAGAAAAAAAAAAAAGACTACCTATGTAACAACACGGTGTCCAGAATGCAAGGTTGGTCTCTGTTCAGGTAGCTGCTTTAGAATTTATCATGCACAAAAAACCTTTTAAAAAACTTGGTTAGAATCTTATTATTAGTTTATAGAATAATTAAGTTTGTTATTTTAATGTTTCTTAGTGTCTAAAAATGCTTAGATTGTAAATTAATCGACTATTTTTTCCTTTTTTTTTTGCAGCCTGTGCGGGAGCATAGCATCATGATGCCCGTCCTTAAAGGGTTAAGTTGCATGGTTAACCATTTGTAGATAATTTTACTTTCCTTTTTTAGCATATTTACAAATACTATTAAGTTTATGGCCAATGTGTATGAAAAATCAGTTAGGACATCCTGGTTAGAAAATTTATTTAAATTTTGACTATTAGCTTTGATAACTATCTTTACAAGAAAAAATTAAAACTTTTATATAACAATAATTCATCACAGAAGCAAATGATGCTAAAATATATAAACAGTAAAATTTTTCATGCCTTATTCTGCTTTCAGAAATTGTTAAATTTTTCCAAACTAAAATAAATGTTGGATATGGGATTTGGATAAAAGTGAAAAGGAACGCGGCCCACGCTACCTGCATAGAGAGCGGCTACTTCTCTTGGTGATGGCAAGATTGGCCTCGAGCAGATTCTTGTTAAATTGACAAATATGTTATTTACTTGTTCATATCATAGAGAACATTTTATAGACAATTTATAAATTAGCAATGGTTGTATCTTACTGAAAAAAAAAAAAAGGTGCAGGCAAATGTTTTTCCATTACAGTTACCTTGTTTATGAATATAACATGTAGAACATTCTTACTTAAATACATTAAACTAATAGTATGCTTTTACTTTTCATCAATCAAAGATTCTCCACCATAGTCAGTTGTATTTTGTTCTTTGCCTGAAGTGGGCCTAAGGCCAAAACATTGCAAAATAAAGCCATTTAGTAAGAGTGTAGAAAGCATTTTTATCTACTTTTCATTATTTAATTTTATTAATTTTTACTTCCCAGTTTATTATGAAACTTTCACCTGTGTTAGAAGGGAAAAACTTTGGAAATGTTGGTGAAGCTATTTTCTATACAATTCAAAAGTTGACAGAAAAGGTAAGGTTGTATATTTTATTTTCTTGAAATATGATATATTTTATACCTATAGACCATAAAAATGTTCAAGTCCCTCTACACTTACAAGCATTTTCAAGTTAACTGGTAAGGGAGGGTAGGATTTTGTTGCTTCATAAGAAACTTGCTGCACATAGCGTTACTTATGCCATGGAGCTTTATGTTTAGTTTGATTAATGTAATTTAGTATGTAGATTTCTTTATATAGCTTTCATATTGTTTTCTTTCATACCTTACTTCATGCTTAGCTTTCATGTACCTTACTGGATTGAGTTTTACAAGTAACGTTTTCCTTATTTCCTAGGTATGTTTGTGAGCAGCTCATGCATTATGTCATTCAAAACGGTAAAATGAGATAAACATTTGTGGAGTGATTGATAAGTTGAATGGCAGGATTATTAATTAGACATGGCTTAGATTGCAATAAAACAATAAAATTAAGTATAAACAGGGGGTAGAAACTTATGAGATTTAAGCTATTTAGGATAAACAATTGTAGTTTACTTTTGCAACCTGCAGTCGTTTTAGAAATAAAAAAGGTAATTTAGATTTATTACGTGCTTTTTTTTTATAGTGTATACAATGTCAGTTAAAACAAGTGACTCTGTATAGACTTAGGGTAGAGAAAATAGATAAAATATAAAATATTTACTGAAAAAAAATTTAATATGTATTTAGGAGGTTATGCAAATGAAGTTTGAAAATTTTCAGATGAAAAAAAGTATTTGTAATCTTAACATGAAAATTACTTTGCACTATGAACAGTCAACACCCTAACCCCATATATTTATGGACAAATCTAGTAAAAATATTTAATTAAAAAAATGGGATATTTTGTGTACAAAAACTTTTAATGTTTACTGAAACCTTGCCAAATGATGTGATAATACACAAAATATATCAGAGTTTAATAGTATGGAACTGATGATTTCTTTGTGATTACAAGGTCGATCTTTAGAAAGAGTTAAAAATTTAGAGCATTATGAAAAACCACCAAAATTGCTGCAGCAAAATGCAGTTTGTTTTAGATAGTAGGTGGAAATCGTTACATTTAGCTCTGCATTATTAGCCTGAGAAACTTCAATGTATAGTTGGAATGTAGATTTTCTCAACACCGCCTTTCACTGAAATCTGAACTCATTTAACCCCTCATCTAATAAGTTGATCAGTGATGACATCATAGATTTATAATCTCAATTTAAAACAAAGCAATAACTAGTAACAGCATTCTTATTTTAACTCTTGTGTTTAAAAAAAATGATAATATTCTTGTTTTGAGAACTTAAGTTTTCTTCCTCTAAGTAATCATGGAAGATGTACTTGATCTCGAATTTACACCAACTATCGAGCTGGAAGATCTGATATGGGTTGTTTCATGATTAAGTTCATCAAAGCAGATCCTTTTCCAGCTCGCATTCTAATGGATGCAGACTTTCCCCTCCAGGTTATTACACTTTTAAAGGAGGAAGGTAAAGATAAGATGCAGAAATAAACAACTGATAGCTTGACATATGCCCTCCTCAAGGCATCTGGACTTGTGTAAAAGTAGTCCATGCCTTCAGTCCCATCCTCTAATGGTTTGGTTGCCTATGCTTAGTACATACCTGAAAAAATGTTACTTGATACTGTCTGTTCCAGAAGCTTGCACAAAGTAGTAGCTATCAAAAGAAATCAAAACGTGGAGGTATGCTATTTATTCATGAGAAAGTTGCTAGAAGTGGCATCATAGGAATAAAATCTTGGATTATTTCACCAAGACCATAGGCTGAAATGGTCCAAGATGAAGCCTACTAAACCACCAAATAGTCCATTCAAGAAGTGTCAAATTGTTCAACCCTCCACCATGCAAGGTTGCAGTCTCAAACTAAGACTTTGGAGCCCAGCTACCAGAAGAGCCCACAACTTCAAAGCAGTGAGGCACTGGTGCCAACACTGCCAGGCACAGACGATGGAGTGGGTTGTAGCTGGGGAACTAACTTTTCAGGAAGGAGGTCAGTGGCAGGATAAAAAGCAAGTTGACTCTAAGGCAATGGGAGAACTTCTCAAGACCTGTTACACAAAGGTGATCTAGCAAATAATGAAAGAAAGAAAAAATAGTTGTTGGTGACCTTGGAGGACCTTCTCTCCAGCCTGTAGTTAACCTGCCAAAGCTTCTTATTATAAATATGTATATGTTTTGTGTATTAATGTTTAAATATGTATATTATGTACATCATTTATTTCTCTGTTTCTTCCCCTTCATAAGCACACACAAATATGTTTTTCCATTGTTTCATTTCATACATTACAAAATAGGTTTTATTCATTTATTTATTAAACAACATATACCCACATCCATAAGAACTAAGAGTGTGAAAGGAAAGAATTTACCCTGTCGCTCCTGTAAAACAAAAGTTCTACCACCAAAATGTGAATCAGCAATTGGCCAGCATTTACTGGTGAACCCGACTTGTGCTGACAACTACACGGATAGCAGGTTTAAAATTATTGCAAATGATCTGTGAACTTTTCATCTCTATATTTTGAAAGCCACCTTTATTAAAACACATAAACCTGTCCTTTGCCACCAGAAATAATTCCTATACAATCTACACATCCTTCAGTAGGTCCTTGACGTTTCTTGATTGGCTTGAGGACATGCCAATCAGTGATTGCCTTACCGGCCTACATTGATCTGACTCATTTTATAAGCTGTATTATTTCCTATAGATGATTTTCTCAACGGTTCTGCTATGATTAGTGTCTGGAAAAAAGTTTCAGCAGATATTTCCTTTGCAACATCTCAACCAACAATTGGTCCAGTTATCAACGCTATTTTCAAGTTTTGAACAACTCGACTTTCAAGATCTACATATCTACATGTGCCGATGTTTCCGTTTATCAACGTTATATTTTAAGATCTGTGTAAGAACTCAGCTAACAGATGTTTCCGCATATAAAAGTTATCTTCTAACTGGTTTCACTAGAGTTTACATAAAACATTTGTTAAACACACTTGTTTCACTAGAGACTGCATAAAACATCCGTTAAACAAACAAACTTGTTTCACTAGAGACTGCATAAAACATCTGTTAAACAAACAAACTTATTTCACTAGAGACTATGTAAAACATATTTTAAAGCAAACAAACTTGTTTCACTAGAGACTATGTAAAACATCTCTTAATGTAAACTTGTTTCACTAGAGACTATGTAAATTATCTGTTAATGCAAACAAACTTGTTTTACTAGAGACTATGTGAAACACCTGTTAAAACAAACAAACTAGTTTCACTAGAGACTATGTAAAACATCTGTTAAATCAAACAAACTAGTTTCACTAGAGACTACATAACACACCTGTTATAATAAAGGAGCAAGTTGGAACGTAAGTTAAGTTTAATGCTAGGTAAAATAATTCGAATACAGCCACACAGACAATTGTTTGTTTGTTTGTTTGTTTTGAAGTTAAGCACAAAGCTACACAATGGGC